AAAAAATACTTACAGTGCTAAAGTTTCTGAAAGCAAAATGCATAATATTAATGACAACACTGCCTCTTGTGAGGTGATGCACAGAGTTCAAGTGGTTGCTTCTAATGTTATTAGCTTTGAAACATAGCAACATACTGAGAGTGCATGAGTCCAGAGTATTTGGCTTTGCTTAGAGTCTCTGGGAAGCATGGGAATGAGTAAAGAATCATTCTGAAAAGCATATTAAGACATACTGGGAACTAACTCCTCATTCATTTTAACAATGTGAAACTGGAATGCATTATTTAAATCATTCAGAAAATATTACTGAAGTGTCACCATGAATAAATACAACAGCTATGACTGGTGTAAAAACAAAGAGGCATATTAATTGGTTAAAGTCAATTTAGGTTCATGAGCAGCATGACACTACATCTTAAAGTAAAAGACTCAGAAATATTTCTCTGGATTAAATGAGTTTCAGTCAATGAAAAGATACCTTTTAAGTAGATTATTATGGATATTTCTTAATCAAAAAGGCTGTGATCTCCAAACTTGACAGAATTCATTCACTGGAATTATTTTCTGAAGGCATAAACATGCTGAAAAATACAAACTAGACTTCATTCTCTGTGAGTTTGTGTCTTAACACTCTGTGACTGGAATTTCAGTTCTAAACAAATTAAATACGTACAAGTTTCAGTTCTGTTTAAACAAGCATACTATGGAGTTGTTTACTGAGACTGGCTAGAATGGAGTTAATTTTCTTCAGAGCATCCTGTATGCTGCAGTTTGGATTTGTGACCAAAGCAGTTTTTATGACCAAACCAACGTTTTAGCTACTCTGACAGTGTTTACACAGCATCAGGATTTCTCTCACTGCCTTCCAGCAATTTGGTTGGGGATGAACAAGAAGGAGGGAGGGGACACGGCTGTCCCAGCTGACCCAAAACAACCAAAGAGATGCTCCACACCGTGTGACACATCCAGCAATAAAAGCTCAGAAGAGAAGGAGCAACAAGAGGTATTTGGGGTTATGCTGTTTGTCTTCTAAAGTAACTGTTAGGTAATGAAGCCTAGTGTTCCTGGAAATGACTGAACATCTGCCTGCCAACAGGAAGTAGTGAATACATTTCTTATTTTGCTTTCTTTGTTCGCATGTGCTGCTTTGCTTCACTCATTAAGCTGTCTTTAACTCAATGCAATGTATTTAATTTTTGTTCTGCTTTTTTCCTGTGCAATTCTTTTCACCTACACCACTGTAGGAGAGTGTGAGCAAGCAGAACTTAACTGCCTATTGGGACTAACCCACAAGTAGAATTGCAGTAGGAGAAAATGAAGTTGTTACCAATACTGCAGATCAGACTTGTTCATTTTGGAGCAAAATAAAAACTGCTTGTAAAGCAGTTGCTGTAAGATGTGATATATTATACACTTGTACTGCTGGGAAGTTTTGAGTTTACTGATAGTTTGGAGCAAATCTCTTAGATTTTGTTCTGTGTATACATAGGAGAGGCATTTGTGCTTGTTTTTTTACAATCTGAACTCTGAAGGCTGAACTCTGAAGTTTTGTGAGTTTTGTTATTGTGTTTTGTTTCTGTGTTGTTTTGCTGTCACCATCCTGTGGAAATCTGGGAGTGTTTGATCAAGTGATATCTTTGTGCAGAAACCTGGTAGGTATCACTGGGAGTTCCAGTCACTTTTGCAAACCAGTTTCCTACATGAATTCACAGAATCAGTACATTTCTCAGATTATTTGTAGATCCTGCTTTTCATCATTATTGCTTATTCTTATGTCTTACAAAATGTACAAGATCCTTTAAAATTAATGCTTGGGGTTGTTTTAGAAGATGGATTCCTACCTGCTTTCTTTTTCTAGCATACTACTGATATTTAATTCTGTGGAAGAGGTAGAAGAAATTGAAGAAACCAGAATGCCATATGCGTTTTTAGTGCATACTTGTGTGACAGTCTGGAACAGATGGAGAATAAGACCAAGACCTAAATTCTACCAAACAACATAACCAAACTAGAATTAGCCAAGAAAAAACAATCACTTCAGACACTGAAGTATGAAGCATGTTTATGATTAAGGACAGGAAGGATGTGAATTGATGAGTTTTAACATTTGTTGAAGTTTAGTTGGAGGTTGTTTGCCTGAAATTAATAGGAAAGCAATATTTGAAGGTATCATGATTTAAATACAGGAAGACAGCTTTTGAAAGCCGCACTTACAGATCATAAATGAGATCACTTCTTTATGTCAGGACACATAAAATCAATTTTAAGGTTTACTTCTCATGATTACTCCTTTTGCGTGTTCTGCAGTTATTATAAGATACTGCACTTTTCCTTTGTCTTCAAATATTTACTTTGCCACTTGGTGGCCTCATTTGATAAGGCAATAAACAATAAAAATCTCAGTTAAGATCTCTTCTTTTTCCAATGGTGTGCAATTCAAATCTTGTTTTTCTTCCTATATATGCAAGAACAGCACAGCACTTGTTGCAACTGATGTGTGCATTCTGTGTTGATTGCTGTGGTTTTTGGAGGCCTGAATTGCTGATATTGAGATGATCAGACCTGAAAGCTCTTCAATCAGGGACAGAACTGAACTGGATGACTTTTCTCCACTTTCTTCCTTGCAACTCTCTGATGTTTTTATATTCCTTAGACCTTTCTCCCTCAAAACAAGATCTAATCTACTACCAGCATTGTTTAATGTATTTTTAAGATCATACCTTGTTCTGCTTTTGCCATGGATCTTTCCCACTTATTTTGCATCCTTCATTTTTATTTTCCTGACTTGCAAATATATATATTTTTTATCTTTCTTGTGAAACCATATCCCAGATCTCTGTCTCTTTGGAAAATGTTCCTATCAATAATGGGATGAAAAATCAGTTCCCATTGCCTTGATACTGAATCCACAGTGTCCTACTCTGCTGACTGAAGGCTCTGAGCAAGAAGCCAGAGTGCATTCTCCTCCAATCTTGTCTCATGGTTTTTGTGCAAATTCTGTATTGGTCTTTTGCAACTGCATAGCTTCAGGATCTTTTGGAGATATATATATATTTTATATATATATTTATATGTGTGTATATTATATATACATATATATACATATATATAAAAGGCAGTTAAACATAAGCAATGATTGATTATTAAAATAGCAACATTTAAAATATCTTTGCTTTTCATTCATTTGCCTTTTTGTAATTACATTAAAACTGTTTAGGCACTTTTCTAATTTGGAATCTTACTTGATACAATTAAGGTCCTGCTTTATTTGTAGTTGGGGCTGGTCCATCCATCCAGTTTACTGCTAGGGTTGAATTCTTGCATGGAAAATATGGATCCTACTTGCCTTTCTGCAGAGTAGTGGTCTGTTCCTTTTTGTTTATCCATGCATTGAGTGTTCCTTCCCCGTTGATTAATATAACAACATTAATCTCTTCCCAGTGTTTGCTCAGGGTCTGTATCTGCTCGTCACTTAAAATATTAGGCTGAATTATTATTTTTTTCCAAAGCATACCTCTAGATTACATTGTAAGAAGCTGTTTTGGTCCACAGAGCATTAAAATGCCAAGGTGATGTGGTATCCCAAACTTTTCCGTATTTTTTCAGCTTTTTACTTAGCACTAATTGAGTAGGTCCACTGGTTGATTCAGTTTACCATGAATTAGAACTTGCCAGCAATGTGAAATCTTCGTTTTATTTCCAGGTCTCCAATTTCATGATTACCCCTGGAAAATACGTTCCTCGCTCCAAATCAGTTTATTGGTTTAAATCATATCAGGAAAACCGAATATTAAATACTTACATTTTGGGAGACTTTGCTTTAGCTTTCTGGACTGGCACTGTCTCAATGCATTTTATCACTGAATTATCAGTATTAGAACAATATTTAGCCCCCTTTTACATGGTGGTGGGTGTGATTAAACTGAGACTGCCTGTACTCTAGTTGTATCCCAGCTTGTAATTCTTGAATTCTCAAGTATTTTAATACCATTTTTCTTTATTATCCAGAATGGGTTATTCACAATTGCAAAAGTTAAGTAATTATGTACTCATCTATCTTAATATTGGGCCAATCAGCCATGTTCTAATACCCCCTTTTGAGTTTAAGCAGCCCCTGGGTTATTTTGTTCATGCGTCTATTACATCTACTGTAACATATCTGCTTGGTGTGTATGTAGTGCTCTTTATCTACAAGCTGCCATGTCCTGCACTTTGGTCACAACAACACCACGCGATGCTACAGTCTTGGGGCAGAGTGGCTGGAAAGCTGCTCTGAGGAAAAGGACGTGGGGGTATTAGTTGATAACTGGCTGTGTGCACAGGTGGCCAAGAAGGCCAGTGGCATCCTGGCTTGTGTCAGAAATGGTATAGTCAGCAGTACCAGAGAGATGATCATCCCTCTATACTCAGCTCTGGTGAGTTCTTTTCTGACCTTAATGATTCTGTGATTCTGTGATTCCAAGTGTTTGTTATCTGGCCACACCAATCTGTTAGTCTATAGAAGTTAGGACCCTTCTCTTTGCTTCACCCATCTATTAGCTTCTTTAGTAATCACCCCTCAGTTCCCTCATTTGTGTGCTGTAAAGCAGTTAGGTCTTTGATAACTTACTTTGTACTATTTTGTTTTGTTTTCAATATGGATATTCAAATTTTATGACTATTGGAATGACTGCAATCTTAGCAAGGGTATAAGGGTATCTCCTTGAGACTATTTCAATTCCTCTGCATTTGTGTTTTTTCTTTTGGTAATGTTTTTACACAAGATGCATATTCTTCCTCAGTGAGTTGTTAGGGTTTTTTTTTCCATTTTTTGTTTGTTTGTTTGGAACTATTGTTAGGACTTCCTTTTCATGATTAGTGCCTCTTAGATTAAAATACTGTGCTTGCAGGTCTTTATTACTCTGAATTGGTAGCCAAATAGTTAAACCTTGTCATACGCTATCTGAAATTACGTACAAAGCCAAGTCATTTCCTTTGGATTCCTCTTTTAATGTTGTTAGTGGAGCTTATTAGCTCTGCTGCTTCTGCGGAGCTACTCTTTGGAAAGAAGAAAACACCTTACATTTTACAAGAGTTGCTGCATATCTAATACAGGATTTTGATCTTCCCCTTAAAACTGGACCCATCTGTGAACCACCCTGAATGTTCTGTGGCACAAAGTCAGCAACAGAGCTTTTATCTGATAACAGTTGACAGGTAAGAGATACGTAACCAGAGAAATTGCACTTTTGTTCGTTTCCTAGTTAACAGACTATACAGAGCTGGTTCTAAAACCTTGTTGTCTTCTACAGAAATTTCTTAGTTTATAGAAGCCAATGTTTATCCGTCTAACCTAGGGTTTGATACATGTCTGGCTTCTACTTTTCAACAGATTATGTAGCTTAGCAGAGTATGTTGTGTGATATATATTACTGCAAAACCACCTCTAGTGATACATCCTGTAAGATCAAATGCCGATCTCTGTTAAATTTGTCTTTTCATATGCAGTGAATTTCTTTCCCATTTATCTTAAGACTCTAATATCAAAGATTGTAACGTGCTTCTTGTTGTAGGGTGTTCTTGAAACAGTAAAGTCCTGAGATCTAGATCAGCAATGTCTAGCTGAACATGAAACATCTTAAAATAATTCAGGTGGCCGCAGACAGGGTTTGAACTTGCGGTTTTCCTTCCTTCTGTTCTTCTTTCATGCCTGGTCATGAGATTTCTTCACTGAGTTGATTAATGGTTTACTGATTTATGCAAGAAAAAGGATGTTCTCATGAGAACTTAAGAATTTGCAAAAGTGATTATTATTCACTTATTCCTGTGGGCATTGAACTGTAGGCTAAGTTCTTCTCTTTGATGATACCAATGTTGCTCTCCCTTCTCCATCTAATACCGTTCCTAATATTTCATTTCAGATTGTCCCAACTAAATGTTATCATGATTATCATTAAAACCTAGATTTTGTATTATGCTGATGACTTCTTTGATATTTTCCCATATTTTCACATCATTTTCCGTGTACCAACGTATCATCCACATATGATGTGGTGTGACACTTTTTAATAATAACTTATTCACACTTGATTTACATAGGTCATTGTGAAAGTGACATGTCCTGTTTATTTCCATGTTAACTGCAATAGATACAAAGAGCACAATAACACTGTTTGATAGAGCAAGTTTTCAGCTACAAAACACTTCAACACAGTCACCACCATTAGCTCTGCGTTTTCACTAGTAATGAACAAGAACCTTCATGCCCCACTTGTAAACATCTGCATTAGCATAAGTGGCTCACTGTCACCACTGCTGAAACATACCATCCTCTGCTTCACTGTGCTCACATGCACTGTTTGGCCTCCATTGACATTCAGCAAATATTGGTGAATGTCGACAGGTTCATTTTTTCTGCATGGAGGAATTCAGTTCCATGCCTTTGCTTCATAGATGTTCCTGTGTCAGATGCCATTTTGCTGGAGTGTATGGCAACAAAATGTAAAAGGATGGTGAGAAGGTTCAACTTCTACTGCTGTAGAGCCAACATTCACCTCTGACACTGTGATCCAACATAACGAAATAGGAGGCATTACTTTTGGAGTAGCCCTGCTATTGATCTAAAAAGTCTTATGATATTTGAACAAATCACTGTTGCTTTCCTCACTGGTACTGTCTTTGTTCAGATAGCAGAATTAAAAGAGAGCATTGGCTAAGTCAGTAAGTGAGATATCAGTATTACTGAGAAATTCTGTTTAGCGCTACAAAATTTTCGTGTGCCCTTTTTGTCACAAACAACCTGAGAAATGACTACTCATTTAAATGTTAAAAATCCACTGATAGACTTTTTGTCAAGTGTTCAATACAGAGAAAAAATGAGATTTAAAAATATAGACCTCTGTATTCATACCTTGGCTTTCTGTAAACTGTAGACAGCAAACTGGTGTCTTTTCTCTGTTTCTTGACGAAGTTGGTATTTTTTCAGTGTGAAGGAGGATCTGGACCTTCAATTAATACACAGCTTCTATTTTTCCACATTTTAACTTACAGGCATACAAAACTTAAGGAAATTCTGTTACCCAAATATCTAGTGTTTTTACTTCCTCCGGATTCCTAATAACAATGCATCAATGACCTGCAGGAATCGCTCCACCCTCACCTCCCACTGGTCAGTACCAATTCCAGAAACATCTGTAGCAAAATCTGTAGCTAATGCATTTTGTTTCATCAGTACAGTGCCAATATTTCTCTGCTGTTTACAAGAGCAGTCCTCCCACTCCTGGGCTCAAAGGAACTCCTGTACTCCAGAACTTGGCAGCTATGTTACTGCAGGCAGAGACCTCAATTACGGGTACTTGAACATTCTTTCATGTGTATGAAACAACATTTATAATTTTCCTGCTTTCTTGAGTTCCAAAGGGAAATATTTTCTTTGGAGGCCATTTATTGGCGTTATAGTCTCAGTGAACATCATAGCAATAGAGGTAGTTAACATTCTCTCCCTGATCACAACGCTAATATTGTTACTGGCCGTTCCCATTGGTCACGTATGTAATGTTAGCACTAGTGCAGGCTGTCCTTAGTCTTTGTTACTGAGGGGATGCCTGTGGGCTTCACTGAAAGGAGCCGTCATATTCTGTAGTTTACATTCTTCCTCCTTACCTTTCTTCTACAAACAGACAAAGCAAACCAGGAAAGAATTTATGGATTCTATCCCATTTTCTCATATCTTAGACTTCTTTTTCTCAAATGTGACCCTGTTGCTCTCCTGCACTTCCACTGGTGCTCCCTAAAGGATATTATTGTGGTGTCCTGTTTTGCAATTACCATTCCACATCTTTTTTCACAGAGATAAAGCCACACTGGGTGTTAGTTTCCTTTTTGTTTTTCTTTTGATCTTTACTCTTAAACGGAGGCTGTGTGTCCCTACTACCATATTTCTGAAAATTACAGTATGGACAGAGCTGCTGCCAGGCTCTCAGGACTGAGCTTTTTTTACATTCCTTTTTTCCTCCGTTACCTTGCCCATTTCTTGAGGCTGGGCTTGCAGCTTCTCTTATTTGTACCTTCTTCTCAGTTCGCACATCCCAGGAATAATCTTGCTGACTTATCCCTTGCACAAATACTACTGTGAAGGTACTGTGATTCTGTTAACTCCACGGCATGCTTGGATCAATGTCTGTATGCCAATCCCAACAATTTTTCAAGGATGCGTGCAATTTTACATTCTCGTAGTGTTCTTCAGGGTGGGATAAAATGCTGCAACTGCTCGGAGATGATACTTAGTAAATTTCATACAGGAGGTTCTTCCTACCATGTAGTGGATAATCATACCTCATTCTGATGCTGCACATTTAAGGGGTGTGTAATCTTTCCTAGATAAGGCCAGCTAATTCTCAGTGTTTGCGAGCTACATTATGCAAGTTTCTGAATTTGCTGGCCCCAAGGTTTAAGCAATGACTCGTTTGTGCTGCAGTCAGGTCAGTTGCTATTGTTATCCTATCCCATGTTTTAGCAGCAGTCAAGGAATAGGCAGTGCTGGGAGTCTGTTTTTTACCATTGGTTTGTTTGCAGTAGTGTCACTCTTTCACAGAAGCCTATTTTGCTTTCACAGTAACATAGTTTTCAAGACAGTTGGCGTCTGAGTTATCCTGTTTTATTCTGGAAAGAGAAATATTAACATATTCATTATGTGTATTGCTCTGAATAATTGACAGTTGTGTCCTGGCTGAATGTTACTGAAGTAAAAGAGCTCCTAGAGCGTGCAGAAATCCATCTGCAGAGAACAGCTTTCAGCACCTGTCCTCAATTTTGTAAATGGCTCACTCCACAAACTGTAAGGTAAACCAAGCTATTAGAAACTGAGGACTCACTCTTAAACATTGTTAGGACAGTATTTTGTATACAGATCAAAAGAGGGACTCAAGGCCATCTTTAGCAGCATCCAGATCAAAGTTGATGTACAAGAGAGGGTTTTCATAATGTTACTTGCTATTGTTTCTACTCATATTTTGCTATCATTTTTCTTTTTTTTTTTACATTTTTTTTACATACTTTTTTTTTACATACATACTTTTTTTACAACTATTTTTACATGTATATATGTATATTGTTCCTATAACTATATATGAAGAAGAAAGGGTTTTCTTCAGTGAAAAGCAATGTTATTGCTTTCCCTCTCTCTTATCATGGTTTAGCACATCTGTGACTCATATATTATGGCATGATAATCAAGTTCTTATCTTTACCCATGCAATCCATTGGAAGGAGATCATCATACTTCGTTAACCATTGTCAAAATAAGACACTGTTTTTATTGCCATACCACTAAAAGTATGTTTTGATCACTGCCACAGTTTTAATCCATTGAGGAAAACAGAATAATAAATTTGACTCACTGTTGGGGTTAGAATATTTATAGAGAACATCTTACTTTGAAATCTTGGAATAGGCATTACTCTCCTTTCCTACCTTTACACTTGCATGAACCCAGAAAAAATGAACTATATGGCTGCCAGAGGTCAATCAAGGTCAATCAATTTCCAATCAAGGAAAAGTGAAATCCGTAATACACTGTTTGTGTAAATTAACCTCTGGTATACAGTGATACCGTTCAGGCAGTCATGATGCTATACAGTTATCTTCACTTATAGACATAAGCATGTTTGTATACCTTCTCTGAGAGACCTACTACTCTTAAACAGTTAAATCTATTTGAAATATGAAAACAGGTGGTAATTCTGTCCTGTGAAGTGACCCACCAGGACAGTGTTCAGAAGCAATACTAGTCACGGGTGCTTTTGGAACAAGATGAAATATCACGGTAACCAATTCATTTCTTTTTCCTTGTAAACATATGATTTTACATACACATATGTTAGAATTTGACTATTGAGTTGGTGTGTGAGAGGCTCCTCCTGGTCCTGCCGCACACAGTAATAGGCAGATTTGCTAATCTGTTGGCAAGGTGTTTCAGGAATGACACAGTCAGATGTGTTCTCTTCCATCATGCACACAAAACCATGGAATCAGTGTTGGGTATAGGACCCAGCCCTGTTGTAGTCCACTGCTAATGCAATGGACTTTTTTTGTGAACTGATTACAAGCCATGAGTGTGCCATGGGAGTTTCAAGTTGAATATTGGGAAAAAAATTATTTTCAGAAAGAATGATGATAAACTGGGACAAGATGCACAGGGAGTTGGTGGGGTCACCAACTTTGGAGGTGTTCAATAAATGTGTAGGTGTAGCACTGAGGGACTCGACTCAGTGAGCATGGTGGGAATGGGTTGATGGTTGGAGGAGGTGATTTTAGTGATCTTTTCCAACCTCAAGGAGTCTATGATTCTGTGATTTTGTGGTCACGAGCCCTAGGACCTCTGATTTCTACTGGAACAGCATTCCTAGGGTGCACGGCAGAGATACACTGAAGGTGGAATAGAGACCTCCTCTTACAGTAGCAGGTATCACTATTTGACATAAGTATTCAAATGACTGGAGAACTGCTGCTTGAAGCATTGTTGCATAGCGAATGAATATGTTGCTCTCACTGAACTGTGACATGGAACCAGGGCTGCACTGAACAACTTCTTTAGACAAGATGAGCTGTTAATCATTCATTATTTGCTGCCTATAAAAGGAAGTTGAAGGATCTTTCTCAGGTCATGAACTTTACAGTGTCATATGTCATTGTGTGCAAACAGAATGTAAACTGGGGTGCAGGCAGGTCACTCAGAGTTTATTCAAAGCAGGAAGCCTAGGGGGTGAAGTAACTGGCTATGAGCAGATGACAGCATTCCTTCAGGTATTGCTGATGGAACAACAGCACTGTTCTAAGGCTCATGGTTTGAGGGTCCCTGTGAACAATGACTTTTTGTGGGGACATTGCCCAGTGCTTCTTGCTCAATGCTGTAGTATCTGACTCACATTCCGCCTGGGAATTAGGCAAGAAATCATCTTGTGGTTTCACAGTCCACACAGGGAAAGGGATAAAGCATTAAGAGAGACTTGTGAGACATACTGATTAGATGAATCCTTTGTAGTGGCTCTTTGTATTGCTTCTTTCCACTGTTTATTAGGTAGGATGGTCTCTGTTTACCGCCCTTACTCTCTGAGTTTGACTGTGCTTATCACTTCTTAAATTGCATTGATCTTTTTGTTGTTTAATATGAAATGTTGCTTTTATATTTATTTTAAAATTTCATTTTAAAATTTATTTATTTTAAAATTTTTGCTTAGAAATGAGTATTAAATGAACAAGAAAAAAGGTGGAAATTAAATTTGCAAGGCAGGCAAAAATCTAATGAATTGAAGTTTCAATAATAAACACACGGGAAAAAGATGTTTTTTTCTTGATCCACAGATAATGTTTTGGAATAAAACAATAAACTTTGTTGGAATTTGAGTACATTTTATTGAACTTACAGTGTGCCATCTTGTTAGAAGCTGAATGAGATTCAACTGAAAAAAAAATAAAAGAACAGAAAAATGGCATTTTCAAAGGTGAGAAATTGTCTTAAAACACTGAAGTGTTTAAGTAAAACAATTAAGTTATTGTAGTATAGATATTAATGAAATTGTATTAAGGTCTATATGTTCCCTAAGGAGACCGCTACAACAGTATTTGAGGTAGTTGCTGTGAAGAGAAGATAGAGTTAATAAAATGGTGCTTAGTTTTTTTTTTCCTAGGACTGCCACTCTTTTTAGTTTTTAATTAGCAAAAATGTGATATTATTTAGCAAAGAGAACTTTATTTAAAACGTGAAGTATATAGGATAAGGCAGATCAGCAATCAAAAACTGACATTTAAATGCTATACAGCTATCCCTCTCTGTGTCATGTTTGGCCAGTGAAGAGGCAACTTGAATTGTGCTCAGTAATTACTTGAGAAGCTGTGGCTTGCAGAAGAGATGATCTGACTCGTAGTGTGGGAATAAATTTATCATGCTTCATGCAGACTAGAAACCAGAGTAAGTTATGAGTCTTGGGCATTTTGGTATCTCCATGAAGAAAGCATTTTTTGGCATCAAAGATGAGCCACACTTCAATTTTTCATTTTTTCTCTAAGAGCATACTCACAAATCATTCTAACAGAGGGTAAATTCTCTCATGCATAAGAAACATTTTCTATTATATATTAATTTATAAATAGCTGATCAACACTGCAGAAACTTTCAGGTACTCAGGAGCTAGCAGCAGAAAATGAAAATGATAGCTGGTAAAGAACCAGTCCACAGGGAGACTAACACTTGTAGTGAGTAAGATTAGAAAAATGTATCTTCTTTAGGATCAATGTCAATATGTTTTCCTCTTTCTGACCTCCATTTTCCATCCTCTCTGCCACCAGCTACAGCTGTTGACAGCCCCTGGGCTAAAGATGGCTTAAAGCTGCAAGTGGACAAGGAGCTTGTGCCAGAGAGCGTTGGGGAAGATAAGAAGCTCTAATTGACTGATGAATTAATGGCAATTAAGATTAATGAACCTTTATGGAATAAGAGAGACTGGAGCACCTAGTCTGGGTCAATAGAATGTCTGTGGATAATTGCTTCTTTGCTAATTGTAGCTGTAATGTGTCTGGCCATCATATGCAAAAATCTTATGTTCTAATGGATAGAGATCTGCATGATGAGTTAATTCCTCTTTGGTGGTAGTGTTAATAATTTAGCACCATTACAGTTAATAATTTATCATTGTTTACTGCAAAGTGATCATATGCAGGCACATCTTGATATCATAACTGGCATTTCCCTGAAGAATATAGCAGGATTCACTCTCAGGGCTGTACGATTGTCATGGTATATGGAATGTAAAGAGCCATGGCACTTGGCAGTATGCTTCTAGAAGTGATAGTACTGATAACAGGAAGCATTAACCCTAGTGTCTGTAGATAGGGCTGTTTAAAGCTACTTATTTGTCCATTGGTGGACAAGGGAAAGGTGACCAATGTCGTTTACCTGGACTTGAGCAAGGCCTTTGACATGGTTCCCACCACATCCTGATCTCCAAAGTGAAGGGATGTGGATTTGATGGGTGGACCCCTCGATGGATAGGAAACCAGTTGAAAGGCCGCAGACAGAGGGTGGTCATCAATGGCTCTATGTCCAGAGAGAGTGGTGAGGTGCTGGAACAAGCTGCCCAGAGAGCTTGTGGATGCCCCATCCCTAGAGGTGTTCAAGGCCAGATTGGATGGGGCCCTGGGCAGCCTAGTCTAGTATTAAATGGGGAGGTCAGTGGCCCTGCATGTGGCAGGGGAAAGGGCTCTTTTTAATGTGAATTAAAGTCTGATTCATTGCTTCTGGTGCAAATAAACAGTTCTCATGATTTTGATAGGCATTTAGCTTGTGAGAAATACGGAAACTTCACACTTCCCCAGTAAAACTGTGAAGTCCAGAGAATAGCAGTGTCAAAAAAATTAATAAATTAAACTCAGTTAAGAAAAGTTATAGGAAATTTTTGTTTATTTGTTGTTTTGTGACAGATAGAGTGGACAGACAGCACTTACCAAAGCAGCATTAAAATTTCAGAAGTATTATAAAGTGGAATGGAAGGAATTGTTCTTCCTATTTGCTGTGATTAGGAAAGGGGTGACAGGTCCAATGTGTCTCAAGGGCAGTTTAAGTTAGTCTGAAAGTCTTCATGTTTGCTTTTAGAAATTACCAATGAAGTGACAAAACTCAAACATCTGTCAAGAATGATAGATGGAAAGAGGATAAACAGGAACTGTTGACTGTGGAGTGGACAAAGCAATGGATCTTTGGACTTCAGTGCTCATAGGGGGATGCTCAACAACAAAATTTTTTATTCTGATCATATCCTATGCAATCTAAACTTTTCACAAATTGCATGGAATTGAGTGAAAATGTTTATAAAATGCAATTTAAATAGGGCTATAGAAGGGAGTAAGTCAATATGAATAGCTTTGGTTCTGTATAGGATATGATATTAATAGTATTATACATTTTGTGTGTAATAACTTGATTCTGTAGCCTCCTTTCCCTCCTCTATGGAAGTCCAGCTGTCTGTAATCCAAGATATGCTGCATAACCCTCTCAGAATTCTGAGGAAATCATCAGAATCTGTGAAAGAGCTGCAAAAAAAAAAAGTTAACAGAGTTAATAGAGTGGAATCCTTCGAGATAAGAACAGGAAAATCATAGACAAAGGTGAGATTGTTGAGATCGAGATAGGCAGCAATTCAAGGATTCGAGAGGGAAAAAATTATCATGAAAAAGGATAAAATATGAAGGGAAAAAGGGATTTGGAAGATGGCAATTCAGCCACATCACAGATCCATTCTAGAGCAATGAAAACTAGCCCTACCCCACCTCACCAATAAAGAGTTCTTTCATTTTTTATTCAGGGTGTTGATAGCGCTAACACACAGTAGTTAACTTTTGTGTGCAGTAACTAATCAGTAACTGCTGTACATTTTGAAGTTGTGCGTACGCTGTTTTTTGTGCGTGGGAAAAGGGATCCATGCAAAGAGATTCAGTGAGGAAGGCATGAAAATTCACAGTCCTTGATTAATTAATTACACTGTTAAGATCTTACTAGGCACATCATTGGCTGGGAAAAAAGGAATTATCTTGTAGTTGAGCATATGAAACAGTTTTGGAAGCATGAAATTATTATTTCCTGATTGTGCGACAGTTTTCTTCTTATAGGACAAATCTGATTGATAGAGCAGTGGCCAAGTTGGCGGAATTCCTTTACAGTTCCTGTATAAAATAGTAATTTTCTCCAGCATGATTATCAGGAGAGAGGATGCTAAAATGGAACATGATACTTTCCTGAGTATTGCAATTCAGAGCTCATTCACAGCTGTTCTAATCTATTCTAGGGCTCAATGCCCTAGAATGTTTATAGAATTTCTGGGACACTCTCCACCATTTCATCTACCTGGAGTATATTAGAAAATCCAAATCTCCATCTTTAAAGGAAAATAAAAAATAATGTGTCCTTTTTTCTGATGATAATGCACAAAGGCTTTGAATTATTTGTTCCAGTTTCTTTTCTTCTTTCCCCTATTTTTATTGATAAACATTTAAAAAGGTTGGATTTCTTGATATTATTACAAAATCTTTCTGAAGAAAATCTTCAAAATGATCTTTAAAAAATAAATCTCTCCAAAAAAAGATAATAGGCCATCACGTGATAGTGTTTTGAATCTGGTTTCAAATTTAGATTAACTTTCTGTGTCAGTTGTCTTCTCCAAATCTTATGTTAATTGGGTTTTCCCTTTGCTGGCTTGCACTAGATACAAGGATACATTGCACCAATGTGAAATCTCTGAGATGGGAATCTCTCAACACAACTTCTCTTCTGGAGGCATAAGCAGTTGAAACTTCACCAGAAATCATAAGACTCATAATTTTTTTATTTTTTTTATTTTTATTTTTTGCTATTCCAGAAGTAAATTGACTATCAATTTACTCATAAAATATTAGACATTTTAATGATAAAAGATGTTTAAATAAATAAATGTAGGTAAGTTAATGTGTGAAATTAACCTGAGATAAACCAATAGTGAGCTTCAATACAGAATAATCTGGGTTTCCCAAATATCTGCAGTCAAAAAAATTGCTATAATACGAAGAATGTTACTGACAAGACTTGGGAATAACCTGGGCAAATGATCACTTAGAGAAGGATTTAATGCTTATCACAGACTATTGTTACAGTACAATCTGTCATTGCAGCAGTGCGCCCACAAAAGATGACTGAAATCCTGCGTTTATATCGTGTTTGAAAATCACAGCCTTAATTTAACCATTATGGGTCTCTCCAGGATATTTCGAGATCTGAATAGTCATCTTTCAAAAACCCCAAAAGTTCTTCTGCTCAAAATTCTAGATAATGGTTCATAAATATCATCCAGGACTTGTAAAATGGAAGTGGAAATTCTGTAAAATGGAAAACTTGTAAGTGGAAATCGGCTACTGCCTTAGTAAATAGAGAGTTGAGTAAACCTTTATAATATTTATAAGTATTATCACATAGAAAAAATATTTGACAATGAAGGTCCTGAAAAAAAAGTAATATCCAGATATTGCATATACAGTTGTATACACATTTTGTATATACAGTTGTATATACAAGATATGTGGTCTGTACAGACATCTCTGAATGACCCATACCAGATATGTAGTCTATACAGATATCAGTGTACTGATGTACTTCTCAGGCAGTACTTTTATTTGCTAACCTTTGGCATTTTTTTTGACTTACAGTTGCAAATTACATTTTCTAGTGTAATCCTCAGTCTGATAAGTCTTTGCATTCCAAAACATTTTTAAAAGAACTGTTTTTTGTTTTGGTTTTTTTTTTTTTTAATGTTGAGGTTACAGATAATGCATGAATAAAAGGGACAAAACTGATATTATCAGATTAAGTAAGTTTTGTTTGAACAAGCTGGTATGAAACTTACAGAGAAATTCTTAAAAATGTATTTGTTTTCTATGACAGGGTTTTTTATTTGACTTTTTATACATTTCACATATGTAGAGGTGTTTAACATATCTATTTTAATAAATGTGCATTGAAAAATCAGAAGAATTCTACCTGAGAAAATTTCTGCTGGCCAGAACTATTTCAAAGCCATTTCTAAAATTGTACCTGTGACTCATCTTGCTATCTTGTTCTGCAATTACTGAAATCAAAAAGAGTACACACTAGCCTAGTTACTACCAGGACGTGTATAGTCAAGTGCCCTTGATCACTTCAGGCATTATCCTATCAAGGTGTATGAATATCTGAAGGGTGGGTGCAAAGAGGATGGGGCCAGGCTACTATCAGTGGTCCCCAGTGCCAGGACAAGAGGCAGCAGGCACAGACCAGACCACAGGAAGTTTGCCTTGAAGCGTGGGAGCAGTCTGTGCTGTGTGGGTACCGGAACAGTGGCACAGGTACCCAGGGGCTGTGTGTGGATTCACCTTTGGAGATCTTCAGATGCTGTCTTGACACGGCCTGGGTGCCCCTGCTGCAGCAAGTGCTAGGCCACCTGTACTTAAAGGTCTCTACCAACATCAGCCATGCTGTGTCCCTGTAATTCTGTTAATCTGCATTTTCCTTGCAGGTTATATTACTCCCTGAATTAGGATTATAAGAAGGGAAAAGAAAAAAAAATATATCAGCTCACTCTTTTTGCGTTACTCAGTTTCATTCTCTCTGGGTGCTCAAGAATGGATTTACCTTCAAGTGTCACTGCCACCTGGAACATTCGGCGCCATATATGAGAAGGTAAGCAGGGATTTCTGGAAGGTTTGAGGGGCATAATTAAGCAGAGTTGTGAAGAAGTAACTATTCAGATTTGTTTTCACAGGTGACTATTTGTTAAATATTCCCTTTAGGAAAGGGAGGCAGGGTCCAAAGTGCACACACTTTACTCCCAGTGTAGATGAGGCAACGAGAGAGGGGAAAAAAAAAAAAAAAAAAAAAAAAAAAAAAAAAAGAGCCAAAGCTGTTCATCAACTCTGTTTTGCATAAGAAGAACAAAGTCCACCCATGCTGCTTGTCCTAGTCATATTAATCTGTTGATTTTCAAATGATCTTTCAGAGAGCTAGGAGCAAACTAAGAACGACTTGCATGGTGAGTCACTGCGCTTCTTTTTAAACCTAAGATATTTTATTAAACTCACTAACATCTAAAACTCCAGATAGCTTCATTCTTTTCTAAATAAGCATATACTTTCTCTCTCTCTCTTTTTTTTTTTTTTAATTTATACTGAAGTACAGGAAATATGCTTCTATCATTCAAATGAAATTAAATGAAAGATCCACAGCTATCAAGTAGTTAAAACAAAAAAAGTACGCATTTGTAAGCAAATTCAAAACACTTCTGCTTCTTTCAACAGGTCTATATTTGCCCTTTGCTAGAATTCACTTGCAAAGTGTGACATTAATAATTTTATTGATTTCAGTAAGTGTATTTTTCTGTCAAACAAGCGGTCATTGAAATTCCTGTCCTTTGCTTAAGAATTGTATGTTTTTCAGTATTATTTTACAGAGAACTATCCTAAATCAATTTAAAATGCATCCTGAAGATGAAAAGCGGAAGTATACTGTCAATGGAAATAC